ATGCTGGAAAGGGTGTGGAGAAAAGGGAACCCTCCTACACTGCTGGTGGGAATGTAGTTTGGTGGAGCTGTTATGGAAAACAGTATGGACATTCCTCAAAAAACTAAAAATAGACTTAGCAGATGATCCAGCAATCCCACTCCTGGGCATATATACAAAGGGAACTCTAATTCAAAAAGACACATGCACCCCCATGTTCATAGCAGCACTATTTACAACAGCCAAAACATGGAAACAATCTAAATGTCTATCGACAGATGACTGAATAAACAAGTTGTGGCATATTTATACAATGGAATGCTACTCAGCAGTAAGAAGAATAAAATAATGCCATTTGCAGCAACATGGATGGACCTAGAGATCATCAATCTAAGTGAAGTAAGCCGGAAAAAGAAAGAAGAATACCTTATGATATCACTTACATGTGGAATCTTAAAGAGGAAAAAAAGACACAAATGAACTTATGTATGAACCAGACTCACAGACACAGAATACAAACTCATGGTTACCAGTAGGGAAAGGGGGTGGAAAGGAATAAAATGGGAGTTCGAGATTTGAAGACACTAACTATTATATATAAAATATTAGATAAATAAGTTTATACTGTATAGCACAGGGAAGTATATTCAGTATCTTGTAGTGAAATGGAAAGGGCTATATGCATGTCTATGTATGACTGAAACATTATGCTGTACATGAGAAAGTGACACATCATTGTAAACTGAATATACGTCAGTAAAAAAAAATGCCATGTGGAAGTCTGGGGTTTCAATTACGAAACCTGTAGTTTCAAAGCTATAGAAAAGCTGTACAGGGACCAAAAAACCCTCCCGAAACAAACAAAACAAAACCCTGCTGGTGTTCCTGAGCCCACCCAGCCCCCCACTCAAGTAAAGATATTCTTAAGAGTATATCAAATTTGCCACCTCTTCATCTGGCACTCAAAGCAGTGGACCCTTCTCTGGCCAGTACTGAAAAAATAACAGCTCTAGAATCTGGCCAGATGTACCCAGCCGGGGTGTGAAGCACTATAAAAATTTGTCTATCCACTCCCCTCAGAGATCCTAGATACTATCACATGAGAACCCCCTAGGTACTTTTGGTCTTTGCTTGCTTAAAACCTCTAGAACTGTCTTTTCTGAGTCCTCTTCCATTTTAGACTGTCAGCGTTGACAGTTAACAGAAGCAGCAGCCATACGAAAGCTTTTGCACGCTGTGAAATTCCCAGGAAGGGCCCCAGTCTATTTCCCAATAACCATTTTTTTTAAAACCCACGAACAAACTCCCTTTAGAATGTAACATCCTGATGGCCCCTGTTTTGCAAACAGCCTGTCCATAGATTTTATTAAGAGCTAATGTTTCAACAATTCCATTTCTGAGACTCTAACCTAAGGAAATAATTCTCTTATTATTTATGACAGGGAAAAACTGTAAGGAACTTAAATACTCAACAACAGGAGACTGTGTGCGAAGTTGGCAGAAGATCCAGATGAGTTCATGATGCAGTGGTTCAAGAGCAGTCGGAACGCCCTGCCAAAGTGCTTTGTGATAAAATGGTAAGAGCACTGTGTGTGTGTGTGTGTGTGTGTGTGGCGCTGGTCCTGGCTAAGTCATGTGAAATCCTAACTTGTCCGGCTTGTCTGACATAACTGTGAAATTAGTGAATACATAGACATGTATTTGCATGAGTTGACTTCATAGTAATTTACTTTTTACATTTATTTTTGTTTAGTTTTTCGGAACCGAAAAGGGTAGTTCCGAAAGGTAAACGGTAAAGTTTAACCGGGTTTCGGGAAC